TGGAGGAAAATATTTGCAGAAGCCATACAGGTCTCTCAAGTCCAGCACTTGCCTGAAAAGTTAGTCCGTGGCCTCTTTCCAAACGGAGTTTTATGTGTGTATGTCGGAACAGCGTAACTCATCGTGTGGTGTAACGCCGTGAACGTGGATTTACTCGTAGCCTGGGTAGTGGACAGTGTATCTTTTTAAAGATGTTTGGGGTTTTTTTTATACAGATTCTTTTCTTGGGGTGAAAAATTTATTTTTTTTTTTTTTTTTTTCCCCCCACTTCTCTGTAGGGAGATCTTTAGCTGTGTGGTTCCCTGGCAGACGTGTGGACAGCAGGCAGCGTGCAGGTTTCACGTCACGTAAGCACAACTCGGTGGGGCTGGTGGGCCTCACGAAGCCTGCGGCCGTGCCACCCCCCTTTTAGAAAGCCAAATTCCCCATCACCGTCAGGGTCCCTGGTGTCATCTCCTCCCTGGTAGCTGGAATCTCTTGTCGTGGAGCCCGGTGTTTTGTATTGTGTTTTTTAATTCCATCTGAGAGGTTTCTCTAAGCTTTGGCATCTTCATTCTTTGGGAGCCTTGTCTTGAATTCCCGAGCGCGACGTGTTGCTGGTCTCGAGTAGCGCGTAGGAATTCAACTGGAATTGATTAAGGTTTTCCAGTGGTGATTCTGATTTTTAACCTGCTTGAGAATACCAAACACTTTAAAAATTCAGATCACCCCAGAGGACTTTCCAGCTCCACCCATGCTTTAATACCAAATTCCACCTCTGCCTGCTGCGTCACTCATAGTGTAAGGGGTCGTTCCATCACCAGCACTGGCTCCTTGGGTGTGCTTTGTCTTTGTGGCACTGCCCAGCGAGCAGGGGTGCCCGTGCAATAACCCCAACGCTTTCACTGTGCTGTTGTAACGCAGGAGAAACCAGGTGGTTTATTTTTCTGTGTTTATCCATCCTTTACGCCCACCGTCAGTCCGCCTTCGCGGCGGGCAGCATCCCGGTCGATCCGGAAGAGTAAAACCAACCGATGGCATCGTTGGAGCAGGGGTGTTTCGTTTGGTAGCGTAGCAAATGCCAGGTTGCCAGCTCTGCTGGGACATGCTGGTGTTTGCTGTAAGAGTCCTGGACTCCAAAGCATCCAACGTACGCCGGCGTGGGAAGGACATCTGTCAGTTTTGGGGTTTTCCACTCACCCTACTACAGGTCGTACGTGTAGGTGGGGGTTAAGCTGAAGATGCTCCTCCTGAGGACAAAGTTCATTCAAACCACAGAAAGGCTGGGCACAAGGACAATCTGCATCTTGGCGTGGTTTTTCTTTTTTTCTTTGTTTTTTTCCGATGCTTTTTCTATTTTTCGCAGGTATTTGGAAGAACTTTGTAGTTACTTGATCTTTGCAAACGCACGCTACGGTCGTGGCAGTTCGTATGAGAAGCGGATGGCACAGGAGAAATTTCAATACCAAAGGTAGCAGAGGTGAAATTTTTTTTTTTTTTTTTACATACATGTGCACAAACACACACACAAAACCCAGAAAAAAATGTGCTTCCTTTACAAACAGCTGGTCCTTACTGCAAACACAGAAACATCTTTCTCCTGCCTGTTTCCTCCATCTTTTGCCCATTTTGGATTTGGAGAATCTAGAGAGACTCTTTGGGTACTGCTCGAGAGATGGTATCGGTGCCTTATGGAGGCCACAATTTCCTCTTTTTTGTTTTTTTTTTTTTTGGGGGGGGATTAATGTCAGTTGACAAATTGCAGCGTCGCTGATCTGCCGGCGCTTCGTGTGAGTCAGCCTGGTTGGATGGGTGAGCCCAGAGGCGTCGGTTGGCCATGCCAGCGCCGTCGGTCCTCTCGGACCACCTTCCCCTTCACATCTCCATGGCGTTTCCGTTGGCCTTAGCACACATGTGAATCAAACCAACCACCATCAGAGGTTGGAGAACCGGAGAGAGTCAACGTGGGGGTTTCTCCTGTTATTTTTTTTTTAATTGAGTTGAGCAGGGGAAAGAGGATCATTGGACATCGGTGCCCATAACTTCACCGAATTCACTTAAGTTGGGTTTTGTTCGTTTGCTCTCAGTCTTCAAGCTGACAAAGGTCTTAGTCGCTGGGATCTGTTTAGTCTTTCCGTGAGGCTTCCTGCCCGTGGACCTCATGGGAAGCACCGTGCGCACGGGGCCGTGCGAGCCAGTGGCACACAAGCACAACCGTACGAGTGTGGCAGTGCTGCTTTCCTCAGCCATTGTGCAAGACATTCACTGAAAGCTGCTATTTTCATTCACCTGGTAATTGTGCTTTATTTTTTCTACGTTTTTTGCTTTTTGTTGTTGTTGTTGTTTTTTTTTCACATGTGGGATATACACCATGTGTTAAATATGCAATAAATTGTTTACAGGATGCTCTTGTAAAGGGTAGTCCTTTGTAAAGCTGTACAGACTTTGCAGTTTAAGCACAATGTGCACATGTTAGTTTTGTATACAGCGAGACATGACTTTTTGCAGAGGGAAAGGTTCTACTATGTTTATATACAAAGTAAATGGATCAACGTTTGTGCTTCATGTAAAGCTGCTTTATAAGACTGTAAAATAAATTTTTGTATCTTAAGACAAACGTGGGGCGTTTTCATTTGTTTCTGTTGGTACCTTCTCTCCTACGCGTGGTTGCAGATGAGCCCTGATGAGCAATTAGTGGTTCTGAGATGCCTCCTTTTAGGGAATTTCAGAAGGTTTTTATTCCAAGTGAGGTGGAAAACGTTTGTTCTTCAACAGTGAGAGGAGTTTACTGCTTTGGGAGAAGGACCACAGATCTATATTCTCTGTCTGTTCAAGTAAAGCTCATGCAGTACGTTGCTGGTGTGAGTTCGTTCTGCTAAATGCATCTCGTTTTTGAGTTAATGTGATTTTTGTTAAATAGCAATTTTAACTAACTGGTCATTAAAAAAATACCCTGACAAAGACCACGGGTGGTCTGCTGGGGTTGCCTGTAATTTGCAAGAAACGCACTAGTCTCTTAACTCCTGTTTTCAGCTAAAAACCTGCAAGTCCTATCAAAATTCCCCCCCAAAATTGGAGTTGAGGTCACCTCCGTGCCAGCCTGGTGCAGAAGTGCCGTTAAATCGGAGCCAGCATGTCCTGGTCGATGGGAAGTCGTTTCCTCCTTGGCCGCAGACGTGACTGGTGCCCACGGTGCCACGTTTGACTCGGTCGGGAATAATTTTACGGGACCGAAACGCCTCGAGCGGATCTTCCGCAGCCGGGCAGGGCTTCGGGACTGGCTCCCAACTTCTTGGGTGAGAATATTGTTTTTTTCGTTACGTAGCAGTTTGTTAAAAAGGTAGGGACTGAAAATAGAAGTGGATTTAAACGTGTTGTCTTGGTGATGAGGCCACGAAGATGATGCGAGGGCTGGAGCACCTTTCCTACGAGGACAGGCTGAAAGAGTTGGGGCTGTTCAGCCTGGAGAAGAGGAGGCTCCGGGGTGACCTTATAGCGGTCTTCCAGTACCTCAAGGGGGCCTACAAGAAAGATGGGGAGAGGCTGTTCAGGAGGGCCTGTTGTGATAGGACAAGGGGTAATGGTTTTAAAATAGAGGGAGGTAGATTCAGGTTGGATATTAGGAAAAAATTTTTTACCATGAGAGTTGTAGAACACTGGAACAGGTTGCCCAGAGAGGTGGTGGATGCTCCATCCCTGGAGACGTTCAAGGCCAGGTTGGACGAGGCCCTGAGCAACCTGATCTAGTTGGAGATATCCCTGTTCCTTGCAGGGGGGTTGGACTAGATGACCTTTGAAGGTCCCTTCCAGCCCTAACCATTCTATGATTCTATGATGACTTCCAGCGTGCGTGGCTCAGGCTGTGGTGAAAGGAGACGCGTTCACCATGTGCCTGGAGTGACTGGTAACTCTCGTGCACGCGTTGCGCTCCCTGCGTGTTAAGAAGCTGCTTCTACACTTCCCAAATCTCTTTCCAAAACTGGCAGGAGCTATTTCAGTGCCAAGCACCCGGCGTTTCAGCCTATCAAACCAGGTGGGTTTCGCAGCGGTGGAGTGCCAATTTCGAAAGCCGTCCTGGCGCTCACCCACTCGGATCTTTAGGGCAGTAAATATTTGGAGAGCTCATCTTGTCGGATTTGGACCTCTAAGCAACTTGCCGAGAGCTTCGTCGGCTCCAACTGAAGATTAACGGGATGGAGCTACCTGGAGCAGGGGTAATAACCACTAACGAGCGGAGCGGAGAGGTTCTGCTCCTGCTCTCATGGCTGCTCCTGTGTTTCCCATCCTGGAGAAGAGGCATGCACCCCCCTGGAAGGGGTCAAACCCCTCTGTGCCACCGGAGGAGCCATCCCATGAGCTGCATGTTGGTGCAGGTGAGGGGAGTCTGTCCGTCTGCACCCGCTGGCCCTGAGCATCCCATGCCAGCTGCCACGAAGGCCGTTCATCCTCGAGGTGGAGGACACACTGCTCCTTCCAAGGTGTCACCAAGCCTTTAGACCAGCAGGTTGGACCCTCATGCTGTGAGTATGCCAACAGCACTTTATTTCCCAGTGCACGTGGGTGCTGGGATGGCTGCTGCTGTCCCTTGGGAGGCAGAGCACCACCCACCCAGGATACCTGGACTTGCTTCCAGCATTGCTCAAGCTGGAGTGTTAAATGATGGCTCGTTAGAGCAAGCTCAGGCTTCTGGTGCTGAGTTTGGGAAGGAGCAAGAGTGTTGGCCCAGCC